ATATCAATCTATAAAGTCCTCTTCAGACTCACAAAACACATACAATGATGCTGAATGCAGGACAATCACAGACCAGTGGGTGGGAGGTCTTGTGGATCCAGTGGCGTGGTAAGCATCTCAGCACTGGCAGGGGTCTCCACATGGCTTCTCCAACTCGGAGGCTCTGGCTACCATCAGCTTGTCTCCTTGTGGCTTGCCAACAAGAATGTCTCACAGGGACTGAGCTTGTGCCCTGGCTCCAGTGAGCTATTTATCTCCTTCGTGACTCCAAATGAGTTCATCAAGCTCTGACCCGATTGACAGGACAAACTCCACCCCTTCACTCTTAATCCTCTCAAATGGACAGCAGATTTTGTAACTACCATGCCTCCAGTTATCAGAAGAAGAGCCCCAGTGGCCATTTTGTCCACCATGAAGGTGTGAGTGAGCTGCCTGCACGGTTTGTCTTCTCCTGGGTGACACTGTGATGCCCAAATGCCAAGTGGATTGATGTGATTGCTGTAGTGGTCACACTCTTCAAATAGATAACTCACTTAGTGGCTATTTGTTTGAAGATATGCTTTAAAGACCCCAGATGCTATTCTTCCTGATAACCGGGTTCTGTAAAATTTACAATGGTCTTCCGGTCTCCTTTTGCTGCTTTTCTACAGTTGGAACTGGGTTGGGAACAAACTGAATGAACTGGATTAGGCTTTGTGTTTATAAGACAGAAGTCAAGAAAATCCCCAACTTTAGACGTTTGCACACGTTTTTGGAAGCCCTGGCAAGAAGCAGCTTAATAGCTGATCACCTCTCAGTTGTTGGTGGGGATCTATTTTGATGGCTCTTGCCTAGAGTTCTCAGCCTCAGACATGGAAATTAAACTATTAGGGACGAAAAGGAAATGATAGAGCCTAAAAGGTCCATACACTCCAGTGCCCCCTATTCTACAAATCGATACATTTCTTTGTCCTTTAACTTTTAAAGATTAATTATTTATCTGGCCAGAGGAGAAACTGTTTGCATGCTACCTTGTATACAGTAGACACTCAGTAACAACTGTCGACACAGATTAGTGAATGAATGAATCTGAACAAAGCTCATCCTAAAATGTATGACTTTTGCTTCCGTTTAAGCGAAAGAATGAATCTGAACAAAGCTCATCTTAGAATGTATGACTTTTGCTTCCGTTTACCCTCATCAACCACATAACATGTAGTCTTTGTTTCTCAGAGAATCAAATCCCCGTAAAGCCTCCTCCCCTAGTAACTTTGTTCCTGCAATAAATATAGCACACTGCGCCCAGCTGATGGAATTTTCCAAGGGAATAGGAAATGGAGTCTCAACCAGAGTCATTCTGTGTCTTGAATTTCGGATGGGTCTTCAGAGATAAAATGTTTGAAGCCAGGAAAATAGCATCAAGAGGAAATACTACATGTGTCGACTGCATTGGAAATCAGCAGAACTGCACCATGGGAACACAGAGCATTATTATTGTCCAGTTCCCTTTGTTTTAGCACAGCTGCAGGCTGCAGCCAGGCAGGGCTGTGTGCTTCTAGGCAGGGGGCGGGACTCTTGTCCTTCCCAATGCTGGAGCTTGACTCTCAGTTGGTAGCTAAACGAAACCCAAGCCCATTGTTGTCGACTTGGCGCTGACTCACAGCGACCCTCCAGGACACAGTAGAACTGCCCCGTAGGGTCTCCAAGGCTGTGATGTTTACAGAAGCAGGCTATCAGTCACCTCTTCCTCTCACAGAGAGGCGGGTGGGTTTGAAGTGTCCTGCCCAGTCCAGGGCTCTGACCACTGCACCACCAGGGCTTCTGCTCCTGCTCCCTCCGTACTGTCAACCCCTGGCTTCCTCTAGGCCCCAGACACCGTATAACACATGACGCCGAGAACACGCCTCTATTCTGACAGTTCTAGACACAGCTAACGGTTTCCAGTGCCCTGATCCGTCCATCTGTCCTTCCTGTCCACACCCCTGTCATGGCCTTTGAGTCTAGAATAACCGTCTCCACCCTGCTTCCAGCCCTGCCCCATTCGGAGAATATCCTCCTGCATTCCTGCATCAGACGGGTTGGGCATCCTCTTTCTCGAAGGCCAGGCCTTCACAGCAAAACGCCAAGAGAGGAAGGGATCATGGGAGCGACAAACGGGTTAATTAGGGTGGAACCTACAAGTTCCAGGCCTTTCCCATTGTGACAGAAGTATAAAATCCAGAAGCTGTTTGCAGAGTCTCAAGAATCTGAAAAAAATTAGGTGGTGAGTGGAGCTTTGGGGGTAATTTCCGGAACTCACGTAAAGGAAGTGTGGCTGCTTACTGGTGTTCTGGCTCACACATGCGCAATTGTATTTCAAGCAAAGTGTGTTGAAGCGTGGCTTTGTGATCCGTGGATGACTGCAGACAAGTTCTCTCAGTGATCAACTTGTCCTAGTGTCATTAGGGTGCCTTCGGGCAAAGGTACAATCAAAAGAGTGGCCTCCCAGGGGACCTGCCAGGCCAGTTCAATGTAAGGCAGAGAGGCCATCTCAGAAGGTAATGGTGACTTTTGGGGGGATTCCGAAGGGTCGTCTTGATAGATTTTTCGACATGGGGTGAACATGGGGTTTGGGGGTTGTTTGTTTTTATTTCCTTTTTCCCCGTCTCAACATTTCCACCTGCTCATTCGTCAGGAGTATCGAGAGCTGCTCCATGGGGATTTCACTGGGAAACCTTGCTCCATCTGCCCTGAAGCCCTGATCTTGCCCCTGCAGACTCCTTTCGGTTCTCCAAACTAAAAAAAAAGAGAAAAACAAATTGAGTCCCCCAAGGATTTCAGAACTGCTCTTTTGATGCGGTGTATTTTGAAGAGCACAGAAATCTTCAGGAGAGGCCTACAGAGATGGAACGATAGCCTCCAGGGGGGTCGACTCAGATGGAGGATATATTGGGAAATAATAGCTTCACATTTTGGCATTTGGGTTTCCTAAAGGTTTCTATGATTTTTTTTAGCAATACCTTATAAGATATAACCCAAGCATTCAACCTTCTCAGCCCTAAATGATACTGGGTTAAAATCACCTAAGAAGGCGGCATTGCTGGTAGGGCATGACCAAGGGTAATATAACCGAGAGGAATTACTGAAACCCAAATGAAGGCCGAACATGATCGTGGGACAAGAGGAAAGTAAAAGGAAATAGAGCAAAGAGCTAGGAGGCAAGGGGCATTTATAGAGGTCTAAATAAAGGCATGTACATATGTAAATATATTCATATATGAGCATGTGGAAATAGATCTATGTGCATATATTTATAGGTTTAGTATTAAGGTAGCA